TACCAAAATATTTGTTAGAAAACTTAGGAAAAAACAAAACTACCACATTTTCCCGACTATAAGCCGCTGCTTTTTTCCCATGCTTTGAACCATGTTGCCTATAAGAATGTGCAGCTTTTCTGTTGATTTTTCCTAACCGTCAGAGGGGGAAGTCAAAGTTGGAAATGGAAGAATAAGAGGCTAATTTTCTTTTAGCATAAGAACATCCTAGCAGCAGACACCATGGACAAATGTATAGAATTCACACATCTGCATTGAAGGTACAGAGGATAAGCTTTTATTTCCGGATGGATCATCTCAATAAGTGGTCCTCCTAACAGTCAGTCATTCTGGTGATATGTTAACGTTAGGCCGTCCTACCTGTTTGTCCCCAGTTAGCTATCTTTTTCTATGCATGCTCCTTTAAGGTGTATTTCTGTGGTGAGCTACAGTTTCAGTCATTAAATCTCACCTTTCTCACCATGGTTCTTTGAAAATGGCAGAGGGTTGTAAGAGAAAACGTGTCTATGAAGTTTAAGAGAAGAAACGAAAGGCCTCAGAAGAGGCACAGGGTTTATACAGGAATGAGTACCTCTAATTTAATGCTTTCTAATGCTCTTAGAAATCATTTTAATGCCATCAACAAGTACCCATTAGTCTCCTATATATAACACTGCAAAATCCTTCGTCATCTTTACCATCGACAGGCTGCAGCCATGTCCAGAATTCTTAATTTTCCTGCCACTTTTGTTGAAATTTGCATTTTTGCATTCCCTACCTTTTTCCTTCTCCTTGACCTTCTTTTCCGAACATACGGCTTTATGATCAACTGGAAGCAGTCTGATATATCTGACGAAATTGTTTTTTTTTAATAAAGCATTTTGAATGCCACAGTAATCACATTTAATAAACGTTAATGCCAATTAAGGCCCTAATTTTAAAAAAATAATAATAATAATCTAATGACTTTTAATGATTTGTCAGATATGTCCCGGAATGCTTTGTGCGGCGTGCTCTTCTACAAAGCATTATGGGATTTGCTGTCACAGCGGCCCACTGTCGCCATAGGCTAGTCGCTCTGTTGGGTAGCGACAGCACGACTAGCCTATACAGATGGCGTAGGCACCGAGCAATGGAGGAGTAGTTATGTGAGTAACAGAGCAAAAAGCAGTGATCATCTGTCCATTAACTGTCAGTTTCATTTCCCTTCCAGGAAGCTTCTTAAATTCAAAAATGTTTTCTTGTTTTGGAATTAAGAAAAGCTTCCTGGATGGGAAGCGAAACATCTTAAAACTTGTAGACAAATTCCAGTCACAGGCAGTCGGGTCGTGTGCTCTAACCACTGCGCCACCAAAGCACGCCCTTTTTTTTTTTACTTTTTTGGAATGACCATGAACTGGGTGACTGAGAATCTTACCAGCATATGACAACATCAACTTTTCAACAAAGCATGCACAAGGAGAAATGGGCTCGTGCATGCTCTCGCATGCTTTTTTTTTTTTTTTAAGTGGAGATGGTGGGTCTTTTAAAAAATTTGAGAAAAATCCTTCACGATACATTTAAAGCTGCTGAACCAACGAGGAGACTGGGTTTAACTCTTGCAGAGCTGAAATAAAGATCTGACGAAGCCCCATCTTTCCGTAGAAGCTCTTACGGCGGTGAGCCATCAACCTAACGGGAGCTAGCATTCTTCTTCGTCCCTTCTCCAGGGGCTATATATAGAGCTCCCCCTTCAGGTTTGGTGGGGGACAGTTGAGTAGATAGCGGCTTATGGCTTGGTGAGGCTTATGTATGTACATTTCCAGTTTTCTCCAAATATTTTTTTGGCAGCAGCTTATACTGAGGTG